AAAACATCTTCCTTGAAGGAGAATTTCACTATTTTTTTCTGGTAGTGGTGAAGATGTAAACAAAGTCATTCAGAGTGGTTTGATGTGAAATGCTCCATTTTAGAGACACTTACAGAGTCAGAAGTGTTCACAGTGGTGTCTTACACTTAAAAGCTGCCTTACAGAAATCTGTTACATGAAATGGTTATGAATACGTTGCCTGATGCCCGAGGCATTGCTTTACGATAGATTTGAAAAGGTTTTTGGCCTTATATGTCCATATTTGTGCTGTAGACCTCACGACCCCTGGTTCCTATCACCACCACAGTAAATAAATCTGACCATTTCACATCAAACCACAAACCACTCTGAACCACTTTGTTCACATCTCAACAACTGAATTATATAGAAATCTTGAGAAATCTGTGGAATTCCCCTTTAACCACACCCTACCTGGGTGAAATCCATGAAACTGGTAAGTACCTGAACTCAAAAAAAGCAGGTGTGGCCTGGACTTTCCATCATTTCACTAAGCAAAAACAGCAAAAGCTCTAATATAATCCAACTCAAAATGATCTTATGCTTTAACAGAAATGGCTCCTAAGCTCGACCACATGTGGCACTAAGCCACTAGCACAGCAGAGCTATTTCTAAACAGCATTTATGCCATTTCCCAATAGAGAAGCAGCAAATCTGAATGCACATCCACAGGTAAGAGCGGCGCGGGTATGCTAAAGCGTTATTAAACTGCCTGTGTGTGGGTAGCAGGCAATATGAGCCAGACTGAAGAACGACATACACCTCCACAGTGTGCAGAGCTGCACACTGTTTGGACAGAAGGCCAAGTGGAGCAGGTCTCCATGGAGTGCAGGCTAAAACGTCTCATTATGGCAATGAACAAACAAAACGCAGCCTGAGGCCATTCAATTACAGCAAAAAACACATCAACAGCAAAGCCCCCAGTGCCTCAGCCAGGGCCACTTGAGTGAAAGTCCCTTTACATAACTCCCTCATAAGGGCAGCAGTCTAAGTAAGAAATGAGCCGTTCGACCTAGAGATGGGTCACATGGGCAAACGTCTGCATTGGGTTTTGGTGCATACAAAAGGTCCAAATCTTTGCCAAAGAACATCACAAAGAAAAGACGCTTTTGAAGTACACTAGTAAAGTTCCCAAGAAAAGTTTGACTTTAGCCTGTTTCAATAAAATCAAGGCAAAGGAAGACCAAGTTTGAGATCAAAATCAATATTCCTATGAAGAGTGTACAGGTTTGATAAATGAATTAACCGAAATTCCTTTCATTGATCAAAGTCTTCAAAGTGCTGAAGCTAAAGGCAGTAAGAGGCAAAACAAGCAGTGGGTTCATGAACTCAGGCAGACAGGGCAAGTTGCTGAGATAACCCCAGAACATTATGACACAAAATATGGAGAAAACATAACACTACTTTGTCTGTATACTTGTTGGCCATTTTATCAGAAACACCTTCCACAGAAGTGCACTTTGAAAAGCCTATTTTTGAATTACTCACACCTATTTGAAGACTATAGGGCATCTGTCGATGCACAGTTTGCATTAGTTATCCTCTAGCACTTCTCCAGTGGTCAGTTTCTGACTGTGGGTCCTCTGTTGGCTGGATATTTTGACTGGAGGATTGGAGGACTTCTCCTAACTCTACTCCTAACCCAAAAGGTGAGCCATTCTCATATCAGTGACTGCCGTTCTGAGAAAGGTCCACCACCCAAATAACATCTGGTCAGCCTGCGGTGGTCACTTTCCATTGAAGAATGGGGGTGATAAACTGTGCCGCAACAGATGGGTTACAGTTAGTAATTGTAAACCTATGAAGTGCAGCTAATTGGTCAGTATAACTGTCATTAATCACAAATAGAGAAAACTTTAAACTTCCAGGAGTTGCTGGCCTACCAAAATTTCACCAAGAGCGCATTGACGAGTCGTCCAGGAGGCCACAAAAGATCCCAGACGAACAATCTAAAGAACTGCAGGCATCACTTGTCTCAGTTAAGGTCAGTGTAAACGATTCCACAATAAGACAGACACTGGACAAAATGGCATCCATAGGAGAGTTGCAGGGCACAAACCACTGCTGACTAAAAAGAACGCTAAGGCTCATCTTGCATTTGCCAAAAAACATCTAGACGACCCCCCAAGACTTCTGGAGTAACATTCTGTGGACTGATGAGTCAAAGGTGGAACGACATGGGTCCTGTTACATCTGGCATAAAGCTATCACCGTATTCCACCATAAGAACATCATACTAACAGTGAAACATGGTGGTGGTAGGCCGGGGCTGCTTTGCTTCTGCAGAACCTGGATGACTGATCTGATGGATGACTGATGAACTGATGGAATCATGAATTCTGCTCTCTATCAGAAAATCCTAAAGGAGAATGTCAGTTCATGACCTAAAGCTCAAGTGCAGTTGGGTTATGCAGCAGGACAATGATCCGAAGCACACAAGAAAGTCTACCTCTGAATGGCTCAAACAAAATAAATAAAGGTTTTAGAGTGACTGAGTCAAAGACTTGACCTGAATGCATCCACCGAGATGCTGTGGCAAGACCTTAAAGACCAGTGTAGCTGAATTAAAATAATTCTGTTAAGAAGAGTGGGTCAAAATTCCCCCACAGCAATGTAAAAGACTCATCACAATACGTTTGACTGCAGTTGTTACTGCAAAGGGTGGCGCAGCCAGTTATTAGGTTTGGGGGGACCACTTTACATGGGTGATAAAGGTTTTGAATAAATCTTTATCATAAATGAATGAAATGATCATTTAAAAGCTGCATTTTGTGTTTACTTATGTTGTCTTTATCTTATATTAAACTTGATCTGAACCATTTAAATGTGATAAATTAGCAAAAACAGAAAACACTGAGAAGGAAGCACAGCCCTGCCTATATTAATTAAGTAGGTTTAGGTGATGATGAGCAGGAGGTGCTAGCGCTGAGCTACAGCCAATGTGGACCTATGAGGAGCAGAGAAACCGAAAGTTTTCTATGGCAGAGCCTCCCTGACAGACTGCTACTAATGGGCTATGCAATTTGGGTTCAGCAGCAGCCTACGTGATGAAAGCCTAATTCAAATGGGGCTTGATAACGGACAAAAAAAATCGTTATCATGCCTTTTCATGGCTCCTTTGGCTGCTCCACAGACATAAAAATCCCAGCACACAAAAGGAGAAGGGAAAAAATCGCTTATTTACTTTGCTCTCTTGACTTCTCTCTGACTTGCTTTTAACTCCAGTGCAAATGTCAATGTAAGTGCAAATGGAATGACCGTCATTTGCCCATTTCCACATACGCTATCTAAACTTTCCTGAGCATCTTTCTCAAAAGAAGGAAAGGCTAAAAGTCATCTGGGTGCAAAAAACAGCAGCAGTTCTTGCAAAAAAAATAAAAAAGTCTTCTGCTATGTAGCAATCAAGACTCATAAAAGATACGAAAACGGCTGAAAAGACGGAATGCTCAGCTTCAGGGTTATAGATTTTTCTTGTAATAAGAATCTGCGGACAAAATCAAAAAAATCTCAGTATTTCTTAATAAATCAAGACTCTGCACTCTTTAAGAAACTCTTTAAGAAAGCCAGTTACGCTTAAGAATTCCACCAGAGTCTAATTACGTCAATGCAAGTACAGATTCAGTGCACAGGCCAAGAACCTTGGCTTTACCGTAATTTAACAGAAAAACAGAAAATAAGTATCAGAATCAAAGAACAGAGCATTGGCTTTATGGAAACACAAACTATTCATTACTTTATAACAAAGTTTGAGTAAAAATACATCAGTTAGAACATTAAAAACACCACATTCAAGGTTGCAATTAGCAAGCTGACCTCTTAATTTGGAGATAATTACGCTCTTGCGGGTGTTAACGTGGTGGGAGTGCTAACAGAGCTGCGCTTTAGCACTCAGTGGGGCTCAGAATGGAAGCAGACAGCTGATTTCGCTCTGCTTTTGGCATTTCAGACGGCACATACACAGGAATTAACTAAGCCATTCACATGGACAGCAGGAAGGAGAGAAGAAATGGCAGTTCCTCTGTGCTGAATGAAGCGCTAGCAAACAAAAGCTGTGCTTAACTATACATTCGTATGAATGAATTTACATCACAGTGTATTGTAATGCAAATTTATCCACATAAAACAACGACTTTTACAAACTTACAATTGGCCTGAATTACAGTTTCTGAGTATGACATTTAAAAGTTGTCTTCATAGCTCAGGTTTAAGAAAAGCAGCATCTTTCCAAGTGCAATTTTCTGCAGTTAATTACTTGAGTAACTAATGGATAAAGGTTCCATTACACACTTTTAGGCTTTGCAGGTCTTATATTTTAGAACATGAATGGATCCATAAATGTAAAAAGATTAAGATCAAATGTAAGAATCTAATGTTTAATGTATGGTTAACAATCCATAATGATTAAAGATGCTGTTTTATTTTATATGTGAAGATGTATTACATGCTTATAACCATGTAACACATTCGCAAGCCATTTATAACATGGTCATAAGTAGTTTGTTACCAGCCTGATTCAGGGTTGCTGCACAATTTTTAAAATTAATTTCAGTGCTTTTTAACACCTTTTCAAGTCCTCAACAAAGAAGTTTCCAACACACAACAATGCACACAAACTTAAATGTAGCATGTGTTAAAGTCTATTTTCTTCAAACCAACTGCTTGAAAAATCAAACATGTATATGTGTTTTGAACAGCATGGTCTTTTCAATGTGTTTGACGATTCTGCATCCACTAGCGCTTCATCAGTGGTCAGTTTCTGTTCACAGCACCACTGTCGGCTGGATATTTTTGGCGGCAGACTATTCCAGATGAGTGTAATACACTATAACCCTGATCTTAATGCATCATCTTAGGATTTAACACCTGCAGTAGTAATAAAAGACATTTTATGATCTTACATTTTTAAACTGTATCAAAAGGCTTAATAAGACTTTTTAGAGATGGGCAGAAATCCCTGTGAGGCCTAATCCAGAATGACTCACCCCTATTTGGAAAGCTCCTGTGAAGTAGTCGAGGTTGGCCTGGATGAAGCCGATGTTTTTAAGCCCCAGTTGTGAACTTCTATCTTTCGCTCTCACCAGAGACTCTTCTTTGTTTTCGATAAGGATGACCTAAGGGTTCAAAACATGGTCAGTACACTGCACAGCCATCTGCAACTTCTGCAATCTTATTAAAATTTTAACACAGAGTGAAAACCAACTGAATCAATTTCAAATGACATTTGAATAATCAAATAAATACTGCATTGAACATGTGTGCCCAACTTTTCCCTGAGATTTTTGTCTTGAGGCACTCAAACAAGCTCAAAATGTACCGTTCTGAAAACTAGAACACTCCTTTATACAATGGATTCCTTCATAAGTAAATCTTTAAAAAGCTGTATAACACTTTATTAGATTATATGAAGGAGAGAAGGGAGGCATAAACTGTAGCAACAACAGAGGCCAGTAGATTTTCAGAAGTATCAGTAGTTTGGTGCTGAAGAAGATACCAAAAATGATCAGAAACGTAAAGTTTGTTCTGTAGTAGTGGTGGTACAGAGTTAAATCGATACTACAATCTTGTCTGACTGCAATTAAAGAACTTAACAGAAGAAGAACATGGCAACCAGTATTGCTGCTGCCGCAGCACCACATCCAATGCAGATATTTCAAAGCAAAAAAATGCATCTTTCTGTGCCAGAAAGCCAGAAAAGTTTGAATTTGTAAAGCACGGTTTGCTCTGGCTGCTGAACAGAACTCCTAACTCGTGCGTGCTCTGAGACCTCCTCCCGCAACTCATCTAAACATCACACTGTGTTCACACGCACTCAATAATTCGATCATAATCAGATTTCTGCAGATATCCGATTATTCAAAACTAGTAAACACCATACTCTGATCTAGAAATCCGATTAAGAAATCTGATAAAGAGAGCTGGATTTTAGCTCGGTAATCAGATTTCTCAGTGCATGTGAACTCTTACTCTGATTTCTTTCGGATTTCTCAGTCTGTGCATGTGCAAAAACAGATGGTGGTACCACAAATAAACAAGCAGTGCTGCGAGATGGCAGCAAAACACTTTTGGAGAGGTGCAGAAACCAAACACGAAATAAACAATTTGAATATTCTTCATCTTCTAGATGATGTATGTTCATATTTTCAGGTAAAGTAGCACGATGTTTAAAAATAAAAGCCGCAGCATGAAGTTTGAGTTTTACATTACGTTTACGTCACGTCGGCCTGTTGCAAAGCAGAAATCTGATTACTGCCTGACTCATGTAGACCCAGAGTTTTCCCATTATCTGATTACTTATGAGCATGCTAACGTGTTGATCAGATTACCAACAAAATCTGATTTTTCTGCATGTAGATTTAGACCAGTGCTACACTGTCACAGTACAGGAGCATTTTTGTTCACCAAGGTAGAACAATGTAAATGTACCCTCAAAGGTACAACATGGCACTTAAGGTCCCATTGTGTACCTTAACCCTTTCACAAATACCTTCGTAATGAGGAACCAGCAGGCAAAGTTACATGCTAAGAAGATCGGATCATGGATCCTGTGTTTTTTTGCATGTTTTATGGTGGTGACACATCATGACTTCTCCCATTCATAGGCACAGCCATGTTTGTATACACTGACTCGAATCACTGCATTATGGATATGACAGCTGACATGCTGTCCTGTATAAGGTGACATAGCTATTCTAAGTTAATAAAACCTAGTGAGTTGGTGCCTCTTGGGGTTGTTCGCATTAGTTAAACTTTGGCTGCTGCACTCAGTGTATCTGACGCATTCAACGAAGCACAAAATACCAACAGGACTGTTTAAAACCAGAACCGTCCGGCACGGCTCACACAGCAGAACGTTCTCCTGATGCTTTTTCCACAACTGAAGCACAAATGTATTTTGTTTCTGCTTCTAAAATTTACTCCAATCATAGACGCATGCTTCGTGCGTGCTGCTCACCAAGAGTGACCGGTAAAGACTAAAAGGCAGGTTTAACTTTAATCGATTATCACATTGATTATCACAAACGTATGTAGCCATGTTACCATGTTTTTTGGGTTGATTATGGTGTCAGTGTTCAAAATGGGGCATTGTAGCCCAGTGCTTGAATCCCACTGATGGGTCGATACTACAGGGACCAATGATGTCAACTCTCACCGTTGAGCACAACTGTGGAAGGAGTTAAATGAGTTTTAAAGGTACAGACATTTACTTTCCTGGGGAAAGGTGCAATTTGTACCTTTTCACAACCTAACCTTTTAAAACTGAAAATATATATATATATATATATATATATATATATATATATATATATATATATATATATATACACACACACACCAAAACCTTGTATCTCCATTTGGGTCATTTACCGTTTTTGACATTATTTGAAAATACCTACTGTCCTCTATATTGTGTGTAAATTTCATGATGAATGGACCGAAAGAAACGGCCCAGAATTACTTGGAAAAATGTCTGGTTCCATTGACTTGCATTAAAAGTAAAGTAGGTTTTTCCTTCTCCTGTAAAGTTAAGCTTACGTCTTTATGCATTACAATACCTTGTTGTTGTGGGTTTTAATAATATAGTTTATTAATGAAGGACTGTGCTTAAAAGCATTTCTGCTTTTGCTGGGGTATCAAACTGATACAGAGGATCACCACGTTTCACTGGCACCAGCTTCAAAAATGTTAGTACTGAACTTTCTACAAACTCTAACATCGACTCCAGCAGTAATTTGGAGTAAGTTTTCAGTTACTGCAAAATCCTGACAATCATCTGGGAAGAACTGAGCTGGAGTTTCTTTTCCTTCGTCTCGGTCGAGTTGAACCTGCTACGGCTGGAGAGAAGGAAGAAAGAGATTCTGGACTTACCTGACACTCAGGAAGTGTGTGCGCCAAAACAATCCCAACGTGGCCCTGAACACAAACATACAAAAAGAAGAAAAAGTCTCAAGACAGGGAGCTCAAAGAGCCAGTCAGATCAAAGGCTGGCCATCAGAGCCGGGCTCCGTCCGTTAGAATATTGACCCGTGAGCCGTTCTCTGTACGTCTGTGAACTCCGAACATGAAAGCCTGCTTCCAGGCTGTGTCTGTGCACAGCATAACAAGAGCACTATGAGACATTACATGGACAGGGAGAACTGGGACTGGTCAATAGCCACACATAAAACTCGGAAAGACCGATCCTGCAGAGTCACAATAGCCACAAAATAAGAGCTGCTTTTTCTTTAATTGTTGCCAAATTAATGGGTTGACAGCTTGTCTTCATGTTACACTGAACCACAGTGATACTATTTTGAATGAGCTCTCCTCAAGTAAGTCCAGTCTTTATAGTTACCAGCCATTACCTGCTTCAGCAAATCAATCTCCCTTTAAATTAAATCAGGTCTTCTCCCCAATGAATGTAACCAATACATACAATGTCTAGAGTGCAGTGAGAAACCGGGGTAACTCGTTATTTACATATTAACTGCTTATTAAGCATTAGTTACTAATTAAGTACTAATTAGTAACTGATTACACTGTTAACTAATAGTTTAGTTAGTCCTTAGTTAGTAGTTCATTTACTCAATAACTGAGTACTAACTGCTGCTTATTACATGGATAATGAACTGATAATACATGTTTATAAAGGTAAATGTGTGCATACATCTTTAAATAAGCAGCCTGTGTTTTAGACCTGGCCAGTATGTCCACCTAAGTTTCTACTGTGATTCACAGTGAAGTATGTAGGCTGCTAGCTGTGAAGATGGAGGGACACAAAAAGCTGTAATTAATGGTTAAGTAACACGAAGTAAGGAGCAACTAATGGTGAAAATGTAAAGACAACTCTGAGGATAGAGAAGCAGCTGCATATGTGGAGGTGAAGGAAAGTGGCCAGTAAAGACCAAGACTGTACAGTGGAGGAACAACGGAATTAACACATAAGTCGTTAACTTGTTAGTTCTCATGTTACTTATTTATGAGTAAACAGACTTATCCATTTATTATCAGTTTAATAAGCAGCAGTTAATACACAGTTAATGAGTAATTAAGCTGTAAACTAATAAAAGTAAACCATCAGTTAACAAGTACTTAATTACTAAGTACTTAATCAGTAACTAATGCTTAATGATCGGTTAATTTATATATGAATAATGATTATTTAATTTCTTATTAGCATATAATTGTCAATTAATTTGTGTGTTACCCAGAAAACTCTTGTTACGTGGCTTTTTTGTATTTATTCTAATGTTGCATAGTGGTTTTACTGCCAAGACAAAAATTGTGGGGTCTGCCATGAGCTCCACTGCCGAGGGGAGCTCAGGGTGTGTTGTCGGGATGCGCCGCACTGCCACGTTAATTTTGTTGCTGTTAATGTTGTTTATTAGTCGTAATGTATGTCATGACTTGTTTGTGTTTTATTGTCTTCTATTTTGTGCAATGTGTAAACAGAAGTGTTTACCATCTTCATGTGGTGTTTGGCTGCTGGTGACCTCACCCCACTAGTTTCCCTGTGAGTTAGTTCCCCACTCTGACTGCTGTTTCCATAAGAGCATTTTCCTGACAGAAAATGACAGATTCCACATCTACCTCTGCGCCAACGCTACAATATAAACAGTCTTCTTGGTTGCCTAAAACATTTGGTGATCTGCTTTAGTGATGCTGGTGATTAGGCTAACTGTGGCTGGGAAAAGTGAGGTCAGTAATGTTTTAATGATGTGTGTTGGCCAAACTGTGTGTTGGAAAAGGTCATTTTGGTTAAATAATAATGAGCATTCAGACTCTAGAGATTGCTTTGAGACCTGTTTACAGAGCATCAGGGCCTAGGAATAGTGTAGAAAGTGCTCTTTGCAAACCTCCAAATTCCAGGAACAAAATTGTACAGGGTACAAGTGGTTAGGTTCATAGAGCCAAGTCATCTAAATCAGTTCCAGACACTAATGTGTGTTCCAGATATCAACTGCTACCATTTGACACCAAGCCCCATAAATGAAACACAAAAAATACATACTCTTTTTTATAGTTGTTTTTTGTCACAACTTGACATCACAATTGACCTTTCATTACCTTGTTAGTTCATGTTCCTGGTCATATTAATAAAAATGCACTATTATTTCTCATTCATGTTGACTTCAATAATTGTGTCTTTAGACTCCTGTTGTTTCTATAATCTGCGAATTCTCAGGACAAATCTGAACACACACAAACACACACAGTCAGAGATGGTTACTTACCCCGCCACTGCAGAAGTCCACTATTGTGTTGCCCGGGCGGGCTAGCTCTGTCACCATGGCGACCAGGTTGTTCAGCTGCTGTCGCTTGCGCACAGCACGAGTGTCTGACATCTTGCCTATGGAGAGGAGGAAATAACAAACTTAACTCCACAGCAGCTTTCTTTACAAGCTTAAAAAAGCAGTATTATTAGGAGCCCATCAAAAATTTGGGGACATCTAGTTTTTTTTTCAAAATGTTCTTTGTTGGTTTGCAGCAACTTATAATCCTGACAGCAAAACTGAAGGAACAACTGACAACAATCCAGCCTTGTACCACCCTTACATCAGAAGAGCTTCATTATGTGTTTTTAACAATAGTTTGTGAAGGAAACCACAGTATGGAAGACTCTTTAAACATGAAGCTGAGTGTTGAAGCTGAAGTCAATCAAAAGATTAGCACATAGCTGTTTTATGTTAATATGTGTTAACATGGTATTTCTAGATGCAATGCACCTTGTGGACCTGGATTCTAAGTATGGAAGTCAATAAGTCAGCAAGTCAGTCAGTAATTCAATGAGTTAGTCAGTAATTATGTCAGTAAGTAAGCAAGTAAGTCAGTACATTAGGCAGTAAGTAAGCAAATCAAGCAGGCTGTCTGTCTGTCAGTCAGCCAGTAAGCAAGTTAGTAAATAAGTGAGTAATTCAGTAAGTAAATAAATCTGTAAGCAAGTCAGTAAGTAAGGAAGCAAGTCAATCATTTTGTCTGCCTGTCAGTCAGTCAGTCAGTAAGTAAACAGTATATCAGTCAGTCAGTCAATCAGTAAGAAATCAGCACATCAGTTTGTCAGTAAGTAGTCAGTAAATAGTCAGTAAGTAGTCAGTAAGTAGTCAGTAAATAGTCAGTAAGTAGTCAGTAAATAATCAGTATATCAATCAATCAGTCAGTACATAGTCAGTAAGTAATGAGTATATCAGTCAGTCAGTAAGTAGTCAGTAAGTAATCAGTATATCAGTCAGTCAGTGAGTAGTCAGTAAGTAATCAGTATATCAGTCAGTCAGTAAGCAGTCAGTAAGCAATCAGTATATCAGTCAGTCAATAAGTAAATCAGCACATCAGTCAGTCAGTAAGTAGTCAGTATGTAATCAGTATGTCATTTAGTTAGTAAGTAGTCAGTAAGCAATCAGTATATCAGTCAGTCAGTCAGTCAGTCAGGAAGCAACTCAGTCACTAAGCAAGTTTGTCAGTAAGGAAGCAATTCACTCATTCGCTCACTCACTCAAGCAGGCGGAAGATTCTCCAGAAGGGGGCGCTATTAGCACTGCAACAGGTTCTGGCGCTTTACATCAGTGACAGTGTGTGTCATTACTCTGAAAATTTTAAAAGGCAGTGTGTCCCCTAACTTTTGACAGGCAACGTACATACTAAACAAAAACAACTAAAGGAAACAGGAGCCAATTCATAAACACAAGAACACAATTCAAAACTGATCACACATATACAGCACACACACTCCCAATGCATCAAAAATAATTATTCAACACCACCATAACGGCCCCAACCATTACCACATAAAGCACATTAATATACATGAGATTTAAAAACGCAGTCCTGTGTACGAGACTACCGTGTGAGTTAGTGTGAGCTTATGAAGTGAGTTCGTTGAGTAAAAAGTCTGAGAGCCACTTCAGACGGGCTGCACTCCTCACAGCTCTGATCATCTATTTCCCACCACGTTTGCTTGCCATTACACTGATACTGCACAGCATGGGTTTAAATCCATTTCTACAGCTACCAAACTTCTCATTTAGCAGCTGACTCCGTCTGACACGCAATTCCACACAGACAGACAACACAAACAGAAGAAAACAAGCCTTTTTTATACAGAAATCAAGATAGCACTTCTCCTTTAGATGTGATATGACCCTTCCAACCCCCTACAACACAGCCTTAAAGGAGAGCCTAGTGGAACTAAATAAAGGTTAAAAACCTCTAATTTTCTAACATTTTCAAATAATCTGAGAGCAGAAATGAAGGCTTCATGTCATCATTCCCTTTCTCCTCTGAGTCACACATCTGAGCAGCTTCCTGTCTTTGAAGTGTGTGTTCACATGGTGATGAACAGACACTAGATCTGGAATTTAAAGCCTAGACGCGTCTTGCCTGAGCCAACGTGCTGTATCGATTCAAACACTGCACAAAACAATACTGTGGGGAGTAGGCCTCGACGACAGGGCGATGTAATCAAACATCGTTGATAATGGGCTAGTAACCTGATGGTGATGTGTAAAAGGTGATAATTGCCTTTTTGGTAAAAGAACTGAGAGAGAATTAGAGAAGACTAATTTACTGTTAAACAGCTTGAAAAATAAGTTGGGGGTTCAAATTTAACCCTCTACAGCATGAAATATTACTTAAACATGATAAAAACGTTTCAGTGTGTTTTTGTTATTTAAAATTGCTTAAACAATGGAAATCTTTTAAAAATTCTATGTATTTATTTTTAAAGTGGGGTGTTTGGTAAATTGTTGCCATATGGCAACAATGCGCAATTGTAGCACAGTACCGTAGCACTATAAAATCTCATTTTTCTCTAAAAACATTCTTTTATTGAAAACAAGACCAAACAAATCCAACTTATACTTCATAAAATGTACGACCCAATATTTACAAATATTGGAAATGAATACAATTTCAATTGTATTTGGGATGTATGGTAATAACAACATCATAATAAGAATTCCTGGTCATGTGATGTCAAAGTATTTGTCCTTTTAAAGTAAAATACCCTTTTTCCACAATTAAGTAGGAAACACACATTTTATATTACTGATTTTAAGTAAAATTGAGATAAAGTAATTGTTGCCATATGGCAACACCATACAGTGGAGGGTTAAGAAGTGTGCAGAGAGAGACAGAGAGAGAGAGAGAGAGAGAGAGACACAGAGAGAGCGAGAGAGAGAGAGAGAGAGAGAGAGAGAGAGAGAGAGATTCACTTTGCATGAATCAAATCGAAAATGCTTAAAGTGACTCACTATAGTAAACAGAACAAGCTGAAAATGACTGGATGTTAGTGTACAGCAGCTAGTTAACTCTAACCTGGAGAGAAAGTTCCTGTGATCCTCATCTAGGCTGTTGTACAGTATTTTCTGTACAGATTGAGTGGTTAGATGAATTACGAAAACACCACTGTAATGACAGAAAACATCTTGTTTTTAATGTGTAAAGCACGTGGATGTGGCTTTGGAAATCACTTGCAATGTGAAGTCAATGCAATTAAAAAGTGAATCACAAATGTAATTCATTAAATAACTAATGTAATTATGAAAATACATATAGCAAAACAGCAATATTAGTGCTTTTAATGGTTGAACAAGAACACAGATCAGACCCATTGATTTTGAGTGAGCGCTCAGAAAGACACTGAACATTATTTGAGAATTTTTGGACATTATTTTGTCTGTGCAAAAGAAGACAAAGGCACATCAGCTTGTGCTGCTGTAAAGAATGTAGTGCCAGTGGGATTCTGTCTGAAAATAGGTTTTATTTCCTGAGGCAGTCTGAAACATGCATAATTTCAGGCTGATTACATTGCTTAATTACCCTCCTATTGTTCTTGCATGGTACTCCATACTGGAGGCACAAAGTGTGCTGCTATATGAAGCCTATCTAATCTCCTGGGTATGCTAAAGCACGGATGGGAAGGTTTGATGGGCGAGGCTTGTCCAGCTAATCAAAACTGTAAAGCTGAGGTGTTGAATTTTCTCTGTGCGATTAGCCGGTGTGTGAAGTGTCTGAATGAAATGAAGTCAGCTCAGAGCTACAGACGCCTGCTGAAAGAGATGAAATCGCCTGGAATTAACGCAAACTCCCCACTTCACCCGCCAGCGTCTGAGCTCCAGCGCAGTGTGACTCAGACGTGCATGTTTTTATCTGTAAATGGTAGTTGTCTCTGGTGGCTGTGTGATGCTGTAGCTGTTAAAATGAGGCAGCGCTACACCCACTCAGGTACTAAACCATCACTCTACGCTCCAAACTGCTTTCACAGCACAATCAGCAGGTAGGCTTCTGGTTCAATCTGCGATAGTACTTTAGATCTTTCATGCCACATACATGTTTTATAAATATATATATATATATATATATATATATATATATATATATATATATATATACACATACACACACACGCACACACACACACACACAGATCAGGCATAACATTATGAGCACTTCCTTGTTTCCATGCTCATTATCAGCTCCACTTACTATATAGGTGCACTTTATAGTTCTACACTTACCGACTGTAGTCCATCTGTTTCTCTGCATACTTTGTTAGCCCCTTTTTACTCTGTTCTTGAGTGGTCAGGACCCCCATGGACCCTCACAGAGCAGGTACTGTTTGGGTGGTGGATCATTCTCAGCACTGCAGTAACACTGACGCGGTGGTGGTGTGTTAGTGTGTGCTGTGCTGGTACAAGTGGATCAGACAGAGCAATGCTGCTGGAGTTTTTAAACACTGTGTCCACTCACTGTCCACTCTATTAGACACTCCTACCCTGTCAATCCACCTTGTAGATGTAAATTCAGAGAAGATACCTAATCTGCTGTTGCACAGTTTGTGTTGGTCATCCTCCAGTCCTTCATCAGTGGTCACAGGACGCTGCCCACAGGACGCTGTTGGCTGGATATTTTTGGTTGGTGGACTGTTCTCAGTCCAGCAGTGACACTGAGGTGTTTAAAAACTCCAGCAGCACTGCTGTGTCTGATCCACTCAGAGCAGCGCAACACACACTAACACACCACCACCACGTCAGTGTTACTGCAGTGCTGAGAATGATCCACCACCCAAATAGTACCTGCTCTGTGAGGGTCCTTGGGGGTCCTGACCACTGAAGAACAGGGTAAACGGGGACTAACAAAGTATGCAGACGGACTACAGTCTGTAATTGTAGAACTACAAAGCTGGAGCTGATAAAATGGACAATGAGCGTCATAATGTTATGCCTGATGGGTATATATATATATATATATATATATATATATATATACACACACACACACCATACACACCACTTCTCCTCCTCTTCTCTCTCTCTCTCCCTTTTCTCAGCCTCTCTTTTCTGTCTTTTTCCTTTC